TTGGTGGCAGCCGTCTCTCCCTTCAACTTCACGGCCATCGGTGGCAACTTGGCAGGGGCCCCGGCATTAATGGTGAGCGTGGTGGTGGGGTTTGAGGAGAGCCAGCTGTGGAGAGGACAGTTGGGAGGAAGGCTGGGAGGGGGATCCAGTCTCTCCGAGGCTGTGGTTTGCCCGGTCTGGGATCCCAAGGAGGGAACTCGGCCTTCTTGGTTCTCTGGTGCTGTTCAATAGGGCACACCTGGGGTCCTTCTTCTGCTGAGCCCTTGAACTCAATCAGCTGGCCTGCAATTAGACTCAGGTGGCATTAATTACAAGGCTGGATTTTAGACCTGCCCACTGAGGGTCAGCTGTGACGGGGGAAGTGCTGGAAAAGCCCAAACCTCCTCCTCGGGGTTTTTTATTCAGAAGCAAGGTGTCTTCTCGCTCCTGGGCTGGGTTTTGGATCGAGAGGAGGTCAGGGTGCTGCGGGAGGGAGGGGGGACGAGCGAGGCAGCGGGGTTTTCTTTTCCCCGCACGGTGCTTGCTCTGTGAGCGGGGCTTCAGGGCGTTAAGTGTAATCAGTTTGTAGTTACACGAGTTCCTCCCGGATGACACTTTTTGGGTGCAGTGGGTGCATTAGGGCACAGGTAGGAGAGAGGGGGTCGGGGTCCTGGTGTTTAGCTCTGGATAGGGAGACAAGAGATCCTGGCAGACGTCAAAGATGGTCCAAAAAGTCAAAGTGTCAGTAAACAGCATTTCTGTCCCGCCCCAGTGTGCCTGTCGAGCACGGGGAGCGCCTGCCTTTGCAGGGTGGGTTTTGGGGAGAAACTGTGTAATGAACAGCTGAATTTGGGCCAGCATTAATTTATCTGTTGTTGCACTGGAAGAAAACCCACAAAATTGTCCCGAGCTCTTTACTAATTTGGCTCAGATTCCATCCTGGCACCGAAGACGGTCCCTCCAGCAGCAGTGTCCTGTGTTGAAGGTGGAAGAGGCTGCAAGAAGGGAGAACACCAGGCTTGGAATTCGGGGACATCACATCTTAAAGCAAAATTCAAGGGGAAGCGTTTGAACCTGCCAGTTTTCTAGGGGAGGAGTGGGAGAAGGAAGGAAGGAGGTGAAGCTAACGCGGAGCCGGGCAGCTTTTTGAGAGAGGGCGATGCGTTCCACCCACCGCAGGATCCGGGGAAAGTCCAGGGCTTTGGGGCGTTCGGTGGCAAACTCGTCCCAGGGCGGTCGAGCCCTGCTGGGCTGGGTGAAGTGTCCTGGGCACCCTGCGGTGCCCCCACCTCTCCTTCCTCGTGGGTGAGGATGAATTCCCACCGGGCTGCTGCAGCACGATGAAATCCCACCGCTCACCCTGGGCCGGGGGCGGAAAGCTGGGCATCGGCAGGTGGCTAGAAAAGCTCAGTGGCAGGGGGTTCCTGCGATTAAATTTAGGAGAAAGTGGTACTTAATAGGTGGATATTAATTACAGCCCCTGTGTTTTCGTCATCGCAGTGCGTTTCCCAGGGGATTAAACATTGCTCTTACCTAAATAGCTGGCGGGGCTCATTGAGAGGGCTTTAAACTAGGTTTGAAGGGGGAAGGGGATATTGCCCAGCTCACTAGGGATGAGCCTAGGCTTAGAGTGCCAAGGCCAGGGGTGAGATTGACAGCCCAGCTCAAGTGTGTTTACACCAATGCCCTCCGATTGTCGCCTGAGTTAGATTTTCCAGTCTCTTGGAGATTTTTTGCAGATTGTGGTTTGGTTTTCTCGCCGTTTGGAGTTGGGGGGTGGGGGCCGGGAAGGAGCTGTGCCTGCCCCGCGAGTCCCTGGAAAGCAGGCGCTGCTCGGGACAGAGTCCACAACCCCCGCCGCTCCCCCCCGGCCGGGACACAGCGGCCCGGCGGGGCGAGAGGGGAGGATTTCTGTGCCTTCAGCTGACCAGGGCAATCGCAGTCCTCTTCAAAACCAGCGCTCGGGGTGAAAGCTCGGTGTGAATCACCCAGAGGTGCCATCGCTCCGGTCCCGTCCGCCGCGGGCTGCGGGACAGGCTTTTGCTGGAGCATTTAAGCGTTGCCTACGCGTGTTTGGGCTGAAGCCTTTCCTCGCTTGCTGACTTTGTCCTCTTCCGCAGGGCAACGTGGTGCTGTGGAAGCCCAGCGACACCGCCCTGCTCTCCAGCTACGCCGTCTACAAGATCCTCCTCGAAGCCGGGCTCCCTCCGAACGTTGTGCAGTTCGTGCCGGCGGACGGGCCCGTGTTTGGAGACACCGTCACGAGCTCTGAGCACTTCTGCGGGCTCAATTTCACCGGCAGTGTGCCGTACGTTGGGGAGGGGAGCGCTGGGGGGGCGAGGGGCGAGGAGCCGCTGGCTGAGGCGATGCCGGGTGCTCGTCTGCCGGTCCCTTGAATGCGCAGGACAGCGCTGAGCAGGGTAGCAGGCAGACAACCGGCCTTCCTTACACGATGTAGTTAAAGGAGGGTTTTAAAACTGATTTAAAAAGTGCCTAACCAGGTTTTCTTGCTACAGGGAGTGCATTTAATTTTAATGGCCTGAAGTTGTGTAGATTGGATGTTAGGAAAAATTTCTTTACTGAAAGAGTGGAGTCCCCATCCCTGGAGGTGTTCAAAAAATGTGTAGGACATGGCTTAGCAGGCATGGTGGGGTTGCGTGGACGGTTGGACTTCCTGATCTTAGAGGGCTTTTCCAACCTTAATGATTCTATGACTCTATGATTTAACAGCAGGGCGTTGCCATTGCTAAACTCAAGGCACAGAGAATAGGTGGAGTCCTGCCCTGTCTCCCAGGGTGCTGTGATTTGGCTTAGCAAACCGCCCTGCGCCGGGAGAGCGATGCCAGCTCCACGTAGATTCGCAACCCTGCGCTCTGCCCGCGCGTTGGGGTGCGTTGGCGACGCCGAGGGCCCCGGCAGCCCATAACGGGCTGTTAGACCCGGGGACTCCGCTCTGCCGGCGAAGGACATGGTCTGATGAGCATCGTGCTTTAAAGGTGGGAAGCTCATAAATCAGCATTAGTGGCTGTGCCTCCTGGTGAGAGGTTATTAGCATTTTTATTGTTTTGCAGCCGAGGGGTTTGTCACAGTAAGGACCGAAAGGAAGGGGGGGAGAGGGATAGAAGAGAAACTTCTGCTGGATGCTCGCTCCTGTGGTCGTCCCTATGACACGGCAACAGTTTCTTGTTTTTAAAACTCAGGCATTGTTGTGTAGTGCCATTGCTTTCAGACCTAGGGTCTCCTTCTCAGCCAGCATCTCTTCTTCCCCTCATAGGCATCCCTGCTTTTGGGGGTGCACACAGGGGTTTGCTGGGGTCCCCTAAAGCAGGGCACGTCACCCAGACGCGCCTTTTCCAAGTGCCACCCCTGTGCGAATGCGAGAGCGTGCTAACCAGCTCCTCCTTGCTCTTCCAGGACTTTCAAGCGGCTCTGGAAGCAGGTAGCCCAAAACCTGGATCGCTACCGCAATTTCCCACGCCTGGCTGGAGGTAACTGCTGCTTCGTGTACCTTTTTTTTGGGAGGAGGCCATGCAGGGGTTTAGTTTGTCCCCTGCTCAGGGGGAAGCTAAAGTGATGGCCAGGATTCCTCTCCTTGTGAGCAAATGGCACAGCTAATTGCGTCCTGTCCGGAAGCGCAAATCTCGTTCGTGTGGGTGCGCTGGGTGTTCGGAGGAGCTTGTGGCACCGGCTGCCCCGGCACGGGACGGGCTGTTACGGTGGGGATCGGGCACTTGGGTGGGAGGCGGTGATGCTCTGGGGTTGCAGAGCATCCACGCTGGGTTTAGGACTGGGCTCAGTCCTTTTACCATCAGTTTTGCAAGTCTGCTCCAGCTCGGGGCCGTGCTCCCTCGCATCGCAGCACCGTCCCAGCCGTGGACCAGGCAGGGCGAGCGCTGGCCGAACCCCTCGCAAGGGACCTGGCCGTAGCTTCTGCTTTTCTGAGGCAGAGCAAGCCTGACAGACCCTTACCTTGCCACTTTTCCTCTTTTTTCCGGCACCAGAGTGCGGCGGGAAGAACTTCCACCTGGTGCACAGCTCGGCCGACGTGGCCAGCGTGGTGAACGGGACCCTGCGCTCGGCTTTCGAGTACGGGGGCCAGAAATGCTCGGCTTGCTCCCGCCTCTACGCCCCGGACTCGCTGTGGCCCCAGATCAAAGAGAAGCTGCTGGAGGAGCACGGGAAGATCAAAGTGGGAGACGTGAGCGGAGCTGCCGGGCTGCTGAAGGGCTTTGCGGCTCAGCGGGTGGTTGATGGGATTAGAGACTGCGGTAACTGGCTACTAATTCCTATTGAACCGAGCTTTTTGTCCCCCCCTCATCTTTTTTTAGTGATTAGAAATTAACTTGTAGCCAGCGTCTGCAGGAAGGATTGTGTAAGTCGCTGAATACCGCAGACTAATTGAAAAGGGGTAGCTTGTGCCCTCAACAGAGGTGTGTTTGGAGGGGGGAAATGTTATTTGGAGAATTTCATCTCCTCCTGATTTCAGGGTTAGCTTTTTGGCAGAGTGTGTACTGACATTGCCTACTGTCTGGCTTCCCGCAGCCCGCCCAGGACTTTGGGACGTTTTTCTCTGCGGTGATCGATGACAAGGTGAGCTCACCTCTCCTGTTTCTGCTCGCGCAAGAAGGTAACGCCGCCAGGCTTTCATTAAGTGGTTTTTTTATTGCTTACAGCAAAGTACGAACATCAGGGATGAGTCAGAGCCGATTATAAGCCCTCTTTTGCTCCCTCCTGGAGTACTGCATGCCTTTGTCACTGCCCCCCCTTGAAAAGTGGGTTATTTTGCTGAGAAATAAATAATAATAATTCTCAGCCATAGGGATTGCCCGGGACGGTATTTCCAGCTCCTGCTTGTGAGCTGGAAGAGCACAGAGAGCAGCGTAGCCTGGAATAGGATTGCCCACACCTTCTTTCAGACCCCACC